TTCAGTAACCCCCTGAAAAAAAGTATACATTTTTTAAGGTTAGTTGTGATATACTAGGAACCCAGGAACCCAAAAAGTAAAAAGGTATGCTACTGAGCAGCCTAGGTTCAGAGATGCCTGTGCTCTCGATCAGAAGATAGTCGAACCGCCCCTCCAGTGCCAGGGAGCGCACGTTCTCAATCAAGTCTTCCCGCAGGGTGCAGCAGATGCAGCCATTGTGGAGCCTAGGTTCCGTAGTAACCCCTCAATAATAAGGGTACCCTTTTTCCTAAGATTCGGCTTTCATAAGGAGACCCCCCCCAAATAAAAAAAGGGCAAAAGGGTACTACTGGCCAACCTAGGAGCTCCACCATCTTGTCTTTGCTTTCGTGGAACTGAACGCTGTCCTGCAGAAGCTGCGCATCGATGTTCACTGACGCCATGTCGTTCACCAAGACGGCCACACGGATGCCTGCACTATGTAATCGTAGCAGAGGGAAGCAACAACAGCGACAAAGCGCAGTAAAAATGCCAGTGATAAACATGTCACCAAGAAATGTTGCTACATCTTGCTATGCCAACCAAGATCGTGATACCTGTACGTATGCACCACCACCACCACCACCAGCACCACCACCACCACACCAAGACCAACACCAACACCAACACCAAGACCAACAACAACAACAAGAACAAACACCAGCAGCACCACCGGTGGTTGAGCAAGGAAGGCACAACACGGAAGAAGAAAGGCTCGACAGGCTCGAATAGAGTCACAAGGATCGTGTTTGCTGGTGCCCCCGTGGGTCTTCGAAACCTCGACACACCCTGAACCCCAGAGTAGAAGCCTGCAGCCCTGAGCCAAACGGGTTTGAAGGCCTTCGCGATTGTTCAGGACGTGCGTAAGCAGGGTCGTCTTGCCAGCACCCAGGAAGCCACTGAGCAGTGTGACCGGAAGCTTGACTCCACCGGGCCCATCGATGTGAACCATCCTGTGGGCTGCGACTCGGCGTAAGGTTTAGGGTTTAGGGATTTAGGGTTTAGGGTTTAGGGCTAAGGCATCAAACCACCAGCAACATGACCCACAGTATCGCAATCAGAAGAGAGCAAACCCCCGATTCATCACTCTCAACCCCTAAACCCGAAACCTAAAGCCCCCAAGCCCTAAACCCGTTACAAACGTGATCCTGACATGCTAGCCACTCAGGGCCTTTTACTTAAACTTCTGTAAACCCGGAGGATTCAACTTAAATCCGAAACCCTCAATCTCAAACAACCTACAAGCTAGATCCGGAGCCCTCAACCCTGAGCCCCAAAGCCCCAACCCCTCTGAAGGAATCCAAACCTTTAACCCCTAAACCCTAAACCCTAAACCCCTAAACCCCTAAACCCTAAAACCCTAAACCCCTAAACCCTAAACCCCTAAACCCTGAACCCCTCGCTGTGGGATCTCCTGCCTCTGTCGTCAGACCGCGACCAGCCACAGCGGGTTGCCGGTCGGGTTTGTAGGGGGTCTTTAGGGCTTATATAGAATTCTATGGTGTTCTTTGTGGGGTTCTGTAGGGTTCTGTGAAGTTTCCAGGATTTTGACAGGGTTTGCGCGTGTTCGGAAGGAGTTGTGGGGCTCGGGGCTTCAAGGTTTTATTTGGGTTCGAAAAATGGTTGATTTGGATCAGGGGCTTAACTAATTAGGGTGTTGGATTTCTTTTGGTTCGGGGCTGTGGTTGCAAGTTTCGTGCCGAGGCCTTGGTGTTTAATTTGGATCCACAGCCGCCAAACGCACAAAAGCGCAGCCACGGGCCAAGCTTTGGGCCAAGCTGGCGACGGTCGGAGGGAGTCGTCCTTCCTACATGAAGTTGAACCTTGAAACCCCTTGACCGCACAAAGCCCCCTGTAGGGTTATGATAAACCTCAAACTCACGCCTCTAACCCTTTAAGGCCCTGGTTCAGCAAAAACCCTAAATGCCTACCCTTGGATGAAACATAGAGCTTCGGTGCATGCGGTGCCCCAAGGAATGTGGGGCTTAAGTCTCTGCGACGAGACGGCCCTGCGCTAAGGGGAACTTCTGTTGGAAGGAGGGGCCTGCGGTTTAGAGCTTAAGATTTGCGGCTCAGGGTTTAGGGCTTCAGGTTTCCGGGCTTAGGGTTTTTGGTTTCGGCATTTCGATGTTTTTAAGAATCCCTTTCAGAAGATATCCTGAGAGATTCCCAGAATAGAAAACCATGAACTGTGCGGCTGTGCGGACATTAAGGAACCATACAAATGAAGTAAACAAGAACAGAGCATATCTTGAACATCCCTACACCGTAAAGCCTCATCAACCCGCAATAGACCCCAAACCCTAAACCAGGAACCGTACTTTCCTTGTTAAACCCACGGGCCGCTAATGAAGATGGAAGTCTGACTGAGGTTTAGAGTTTCGGGCTTTGGGTTTAAAGGTTTAGGGTTTAGGGTAAACGTCTGAATACGTGTACAGTTCGCGCTACTGCCCCATGAAAAATCGGTAAATGCGACTTCCAAACTCCTCAAAACCTTGACCTAATAACTAAGACCCCATGCTAAACCTTGTCAAACCGAGTGAAAAAAACTAAAAACACTCTAAAAACACCATTTAAGGACTCTCTTAAACTCTAGGTGATTGATTACCTCCCAAGTCCCTAAACCCTAAACCCTAAACCCTTAACCCTAAACCCTAAACCCTAACCCTAAACCCTAAACCCTAAACCCTAAGTCCGACGGTTTCATCTCAAACTGAGGCGACGTCTCCGCCCTCGGCCCTGCACTGCAGCTCGTGGTCTTCATCACCTGCGCGTCGATTAGTTTGGGTGTTGGAGTTTCGGGTTTTAGGGTTTAGGGTTTAAGGGGTTTAGGGGTTTAGGGTTTAGGGCTTAGGGTTTAGAGTTTCGGGTTTAAGGGTTTGGCGATTGGTTGTTTGTTTAACTCCTTGTTCCGACTGCTGATTTGACAGAATAGAATCTGCTAGAAAGTCCCGGGACCAGAAGAAGCGGTCACCAAACGCATCCATGCAGCTCCACCAAAGCACACAACAACCCACACGCACGCGCCCCCAAGCATCAACCCTGACGCACACCCATGTCTTGGGCGGTTTCGGTGACGACGAAATACAGTCTCGGGAGCAACTCCAAGACATCACGATCAATACTCACCAGCAGTTTGTAGGGCACTCTCAGCTTCATGGGCAGTTGTAAGTACGATTCTAAAGCGTCGCACCTTCACTGGGCTGTAAGCAGGTATCGCTGTAGTTATCCTGCTCATAAGCGTACTTGCCCGATTTCCTCTGAATTTTCCCTCAACCCTAAATACTAAACCCTAAACCCTAACCCCTAAAACCCTAAAGCCTGGACTAAAGCCTGAACCCTAAGCACCCTCAGATTTAAGACCCTACACCTCGCTGAGCCCTACCTGGAAGGATGGGGCGGGCATGTCGCCCAGCTTTGCAGTGACGGCCGTGGAGAGGGCCGCTGGTCCCATCCTTTTGCAAGGCTTCTTTATGGCTTAGGATATTATACTATGTTACATTATATTACATTATATTACATTATATTACATTATGTTACATTATGTTACATTATATTCTAGTATATTACCATATACTATATTATACTATATTAAATTATGGCTTAAATCGGCTTCAAGGTTTAGGGCTTAAGGGTTTAGG